TACAGGGGGCCGGCCCCCGGAACCCCGGAACCCCGGCGGGGTCCCGGGGCCGGGGGTCGACAACCCTGGTTCTGGCTGTGGGACCTGTGATTTTTGTTTTCATACAGCGCTTCCCTGTTTCCATTTAGCTATGAGGATAGGATGGCTATGACTAGCAGTCGAGTATGTACCATGGTGGTTCAGACTGTGGGACCTGTGATGTTTGAGGCTATGTTGTTGAGGCCTCCCATTGTGAGGATTGTTTTTGGTTTGTGGGTCTCTGCTTTTGTCATTAGGGTAGATATCTGTCGGACGCGTTTGGTTCCTTAGATACATTTTTCAGAAGGCTGCGAATGCTCTGTAGGAGGTCGTATGATGACGGGCCCAATCGTTTGGTCATTGGGGGCCGGTGTTCAAATCCATTTTCGGCGGTAATATGTTTTCAAATTGGCGGGAGTACGGTAGTCGGTAGTTTCGTGAGTTGTACTGTTGTTTCATAGACCTCTTTCCGACTACGTAAGGATATATATTGAATGTTTTCATTTCGGTCAGTACCTTCCGCGACCGAAGACCCCTGACGAGTGCTGGTGGCGGCCAGCCGAAACTAGTCAGGTCCACACTGCTGAACTTAACGTTTTTCATATGACAGTCGCGTTCGGGAGACATATCCTTGCGTACTTCTTCTTCCTCTTGTTTCATCTCCCCTGTCTTGGTCTATACTCCCACTTGCCTTCCATCTTCTCTGTGTGTGTCTCAGCTATTCTCCTGAATGTTGTTGTGTGAACCTTGTGTATGATTGGCTGTCACTTTTGACTCGCTGCTCACTATGTATGTATTGGCTGATGCACACTGAGAATGTTGTTCTACACATAGGTTAGAGGGGCGACCTAATGGGATCAACATTTCAAACAAAAGGGTTGCTGCTTCTGCTCCCGTGATAGGAGCTAGCATACTAGGTAAACACGACAGACTGCCATGCCAAAGACCCAGCGAACGAATTCGACGCTGCAGCTCTAACTGGGCTAGCTCCTTTTGGGACAAGCCATTTACGAAGAGGCATTCCTGCGCGACTAATCTCGGCCGTGGGATCCACGAGATTGCGCGACTGAAATCAGCTGCTCGGGGCTGATATGACCAATGTGCAGGGATGACACTCATAAATCATTTAATATATATATATATATATATATGTGTGTGTGTGTATATATATATATATAAATATAAATATATATATATATATATATATATATATATATAAAATTCGTCGAAGTCCATATGGCCTCAAACTCAAGTCTGTGTCTCAACAGATCGCAGGGCTGCCCTGCGATGTGACTCTTGGTTTTCGGCCAAACGAAACAAACAGGAAAAAAAATAAAAAAAATTGAAATGGACGCGCCATGTGGCGAGGTAGGAAGTGACAGGGGTTGTAGCCCCTGTAGGACTGAAAGTGGTGTCCGTTACAACGGGCAGACACGTCACTTCAAGTAAGTTTGTATTTATTCTTTATTTTCCCTTTTAGATTTTCTTTGGATTTTTTTTTTTCCCCTCTATTTGTTTGCGCCCGATCGGACAACCTCTTCGTTTAAGAGGTAAGGCTGTTTTTTTTGTTTTTTACTACATTCGTTTAAAGTTCTTCTTATATATATATATTTTATTTCCTTTAGATTCCCTCTCTCACGTACTTGCAGAATCTGCGCCCGTTCGTTTCGATGAACGGGCTGTAGCACGGGGAGGCCATGTATGCTTCCATGATGAAGTGGAAGATACATGGCACATATGAAGGGACTTGGCATATCGCTTCTTTAGCATTTCAAGACTTGAAGCTAGAGGTGTCAGAGAAATTACAGTAGGGTTAACTGGCGTGTGGTAGCCAAGCGTTTATAACGACACTGCTTTTTTATCCTTCGATGTCGGTTGTTCTTGTTATTGGGAAGCAACATATTATTGCAGCACCCGAACTTTACGCAGTTGGCGCCCAGGTACGGGCGCGCGAGGGAAAGGAGACCCCATTGAGCTTGACTCTAGTTCGATTCTATGAACTGGCCCCGCTCCACGAGTTGACGCCCCTGCACTGTCCCTGCTATTGCAGTAAACTTCACACAAGCCTGACCCATTCGCCAGAGGGTCGGTAAAGCCTTAGGACAAAGGCCTGATGGGTCTCGAAAATCCGAGTTGCCAGCCCACCAGGTGCAACGGAAGGGCGGACATGAGATGTGAAAACGGTACCTGCTTGAAAGCAAGGTACAAAAAGATAACAAGAACGTTACTAGAAAAAAAAAAAAAAAAAAAAAAAAAAAAAAAAAAAAAAAAAAAAAAAAAAAAAAAAAACTGGAAAGAAAAAACGTTGTAAAGAGAACACTCACACGAGTCCTCGCTCCACTACTCACCAAATGTGCGAAATAAGAATGAATCCTCTGATACGACACGGAAAGATACACCGTCACACTTTTTGCTAAATGGAGAAAAACGTGCCCTCCGTGATTTCAGGCGCCCCCCCTCCTTTCAGAGGAGGGAGGAAAGGACAAAGGCTTGCCTTTTGTTGTTGTTTTTTTTTTCATTTTTTTTTCCAAATAGCTCAGAAAGAAATACAGAAAGAGGTCATGTACGTGACCATGAACGCAAGATAAGTACACGGGGAGTGGCTAAGAACAGTAAGACATTGATATATCATTCTCCAATTGACGTTACTTAGGGCCGTCGTCACTCTATAATTTTTTTTTTTTTTTTTTTTTATAGAAGTGTGGCATATTTATTATACTTGGAAGAACAAGGCCAAAAAAACCTCACAAACAACCCGGAAAGAAAACTGGGGCCATTACCCAGCTTAGTCTTGTGTTGGAAACAGAGTTCAGTGTCTCTGACTCCCTTCAAAGGCCTTCTACCAAAGAACGATGAAACTCTGACTGGGACTAACCAGCACCTTAAGACAAAACTTGTTGTAGGAGAAGCTTAAAAATAACAAACAATTTTTCAATCCAGAAAACTTACCGGCTAGGAGGCAAGCCCTGCGACCCTTTCTCCATCCTTTCTCCCTCACAACTTAAAACTAGTTGCCTACTGAAAGTTAACAAAATAATCTAGTATGACTATTTTATTTGTTGCTTTCTAGTTTAAAACAGCTAGGCTACTCCTAAACCTCGACACCCACACATCAGTGGTCACCTCAACCACTGTGCTATAGTCACATTTGCCTCATCTGCAGCTGTCGCGAAGTAACTCTTCATCGCCCATGGCTTGCCGAAACGAATAAAACTGAACCTTTTCCAATCTGCTAAAATTGTCAGACGAATCTCTTGCTTTATCATGTTGTAGGTCTGCTGAAAAGAGATTGTAATCTTTTTGAAAACGTTTGCATTTCTTGTTCCCCACATGACCCCTATGATAATACCTCTGCAGGTTAAAGCTATGTACCACTTCCCTGAATTAAAGCTGGCTCCTTGTGGGATCTTGCCATACAGTATAAAGGAATCGACCCAGACTCCAGTGATTACTTCCCATTTCTTTCAATGATATTTCCACCACTCCCACACCTTGTCTGAGAGGGGACACCATAACCAAAGATGGACTGCATTTTCCCACCCCTAGTCACATCCGACGCAAGTTGTGGGGATGTCCATTCCTTTTGAATTTAGCCACATTGTTATGGGCGTCACCTGCAACGATTGGAGCCAATGAATAACCGCTTGCTTCTACAATGAGATCCTCCTTAATGTCTTCCATAGCTTGTACAAATCTTGATCTAGCACAACGGAGCCCTATGTATTTGATAACCCCCTTATGGCGGTATTGATTGGCTTCTTAGTCACTTTTTCGCGCATCTGCAAAGTTTCAATTTTAGACCTGTAATCAATCAACGGACAGTTCTGTTGTCCTGTTATCTCCTAGCCTGTCAATAAGGGTTCCACGATTAGAGAATCTGTGTTCGTATTTTGGACACAGACCTCCGTGGTGGAACCCTTATGAAACTTCCTTACTCTCACTTCCTTGGAGTCCACCGTTGGAGGAATCACACAATCCTCCACATATGTCAGCCTGTCATTTCAAATATTGTTCCTTCTCCATCTCTGCACCTTGACTCTGGCTCTTAGGTCTGACCCGATAACCTTCCAATATATTTCTTCTCTAGATTCAGCCTGTAGCCAGACCCCTGAACCGGGATCTGTGTTTTTTCTGAGGGATGCAAGTCAGTACACAAGAGTGGCTTCCCAAACTTTTTAAAAATTTACCTCGAGGTTATGTAGACGGGGGAACTTCTCCCTGAGTTCCAGGAGTGGTATCTAATCCTCTTTATCTTGATTTTAAAGATCTCTTACATGGACTATACCTTTCTCTACCCAGGTTCGTCCGAAGGAACCATAACTCCTGTCTACTAACAAGGCCTCCTGCTGGTTTAATATAGTCATTTTCAAACAGGAGTTGGTTTAAAATTTCCTCTTCTGAGGTAGGCTCCTTTAGAGGTTTAGGTCTCAGTTTGTTCCACACAAAGAAAATATTCTCCATAAGCGGGATTTCGGGTGCCTCTGACAGTAGGATTTGATCTGTACACACAACCATACCTGGTTGCCCTTTAGGAGGTTCCATTCAAGTTGTAGAATATATTATGTCAGGACAATCCACAATTTATTCCTTTTGCCGAACATCGCCATCACCGGTCATTTTGTCAGTAGGGCGAGGTTTTGTTGTTGAGGGTATAATATTCCCAGACCCCCCTGATCCCTGACACATGTAATTGTCTTCCATGCCACCTTAGTAATGAATCCTTGGTTTTCTTGTGCTTGGGGCTTCCAAATGTATCGAGCCCCGACCCTCTTTATTGCTTTATAGACTTCATCTCCTAATAGGTGAACTGTGACGGGGAACTAGAAGATTCAAAAGGCCGCTTGGGAAAGAACCAATGCTCTCCCAAATAAGCATAGCCTATGGTTCCTAGCCCATCGAATCATACGACCAATTACTTTGTCTTTCAATAAGGTGTCTCAGACGCTTGAACAATCGGAAAGGGACGAGTCAGTCGTTACGGGGTCTATGAAGGCGCTCGCGTCCATTGAATTGCTTTCTTTTCTGGACACCTAAAAAATGATTTGAGGAGTTGGCAGGGATCATCCTGAGACCCCAATCTACTTTGATCGTGTACAGGGGGGGAATGATATAAACCGATTTATCCCAGTTAATTGATGCCTAAAAAAGAAGGCAGTACTTATCCACGACCTTCCTCAGTTCCAAAAAGAACTCCGTGGTGTTTGCGCAAGCCACTGTGAGATCGTCAACAATTGCCCCCCCCTTCCATTGAATGTTAGAGGGGAGTTGTAGACCAACTATCTTATTATTGGATCTAATATTATGCAACAAAACTTCAAGCTGGATTACAAATAGGAATGAGGCAAATGGGCACACTTGGCGGAGAGACCTAGTCAATGGGA